AGATTGCACCATCGTTTTGGGCTTAAAGCTTCCAAAGTCCAACAATAATAGCGCATGTTCACGACGGTTTTTTAAGTCCGTCAAGTTCTTAAACCAGGCCTTAAACGGCCAGTTTTAAGTGTCGATAACAGTTAAAAAGGCATACAAGCCTCATGCAAAAGACAGTGGGAAGGAAGTGCACATCGGTGATGGGGAAAAAGGAGTAGCCCACAGTTATTTAGGGGTGGATATTTCGAAACATTCTTACACTCTTGGACAGATGTGCATTGTTTAAAGTTCTAGACAAACCAGGTGTAAATTTATAGTAACAAACTGTTAAATATACATCAGCAAGATTTTGAGAATCCTATTTTTCGCTGGAGACTATCGTTTACTTGCTGGTCACGCAATCAAAGGTAACGTACTTTCCCACGTTTGTTTACTCACCTTTCGCTCAGCAATACACTGCGTTCCACAAAGGATCCTAATTGCGCTAGAAATGTTTTGCTATTCGGCCCACTTTTTATCTCAGGTAAGGCACTGCAAAGCTGATTCACTTACGAAGATTCGAGGGCGAATTATTTCTTGATGTTATTCTGATTTCGCAGTCACGGGAAAACAGACCTAGACTCAGGTCCACTTGCAGACGCCATGCTGCAATCTACAAGATCTCAAGAACAGAAATTACCCATTGAACGGCCTCTCCTTTTGAAGATTGCGTGTATTTCATTAAAACAGGTACATATTAAAAGAATCTTGTTAGTTTCTCCCTTTTAACGAGCTCAAATCGACGCATAAAACTAAGGTGACGTGCACGTATGAATTGACCCTGGGGTCAATTAGCGGTTGTTTGGGGCGAAATAACCTCAAAATAATCAGTCTATTTTACAAGCGTTCGCAAGAACACCAGACTAACTTTCAGATAATGTTGAAGTACCATATCTCATTAGGTAGTAAGCGGGATTTGGGGTGATTTGGAGAATTCCCCCATATAGAAAATTCGATTTTGGTTTTAGCGGTAAATTGTTGTATTTATAAGCATTATGCAAATTACGTTTCAAAATTCTGCTGGTTCGTCGATATTTTATACTCTAAATCTAAAAAATGTGCCGTTCAGAATTGTTTGATATCTGCTTTTTGAGATTTAAGTGGAAGATTGCCAATATATTCGCTCGTTTATGAAAGTCAGCTCAATCCTGTCACTGGGCTATTTTCCCGAGTTCGGCGGCTAATTTTAGGCCTCCTGACCGTTGAAATCGAAAATCTCAAATAATTCTGAAACTCGGCCGCATTTTGAAATTTAAACCTCAGCAGTGTTATAAACTCATTAAAACCTTATTACAGACTGAAAATGAGGGTAAGTTAGGTTTTGAGCTGTGGCCACGATTTGCCGATTTTGCTCGATTTTTCTGTGCATTCGCTCTTAATTATAACAGAGTGATTTAAGGTTACGCTACAGCTTAAATTTGTTATTTTTCATCCACAAAACCGAGGTAATTAGTAAAGGAAAAAGCTTCCGTTGTGCTCTAGTTTCCGAAACAATACGCCTATTAAAATATGTTTTTATATGTTTTAGCTTTTTAAACATTTTTTGTGATAGTTACAACGCTTTTAGCAACTATACCACTAATCACACGGTTATTACTGTCATTATTAGCCAGCTCCAGTTGCTAAAACAGTGTGGGCGGAACAAGTTATATCATAACTAACTGAATACCGGAACTTTGTGTAGAAGTCTATAAATTTAGATCGCTTACGTATTTCCTGTTAAGCGCGTTGATGTAGGAATATGTAGCTGTAAGTGACGTGCTGCACACATATGGAGATGGAGAAGTGACTGTGCAATTTATTGCAGCGAAGGTGAATGTTGCACCTACCAAAGCGACATCAGTTCCGAGATTAGAGCTCGTTACGGCAGTGTTGGGTCTTAGATTGGCAAGGAGAGAGCTGTTAGAGATTCCCTTCGAGAACTATGCGCTATACACCTTTTACGATGTGCCCAATAAGTTGCCTCCTTTCGGCCTCTCTGATCATGATACAGTAGCAGTACAACGCTTGGCTAGGCAGAACCTTTCGAAGAATAAGTTCCTGCTTAAAACAAGAGACCTGCGGGCTACAAATCGTCTGACCATGCGAACATATCTTGAGGAAGTCAAACTTGGTCTCCTGGTAGGTCTCAAAGAGTCATGCGAAGAGAAAACGCGCACGCTCAAAACAAGAATAAAGACCGGCATGGATACCTTGCTTCCCCCTAAATCCAAGACGGTCATTGCGAATGAACCACCATGGATCACCAAAAAAAATTAAATTCCCTAACTCACGATCGTCAAACAGCGTTTGCTCGTGGTGACGAGGCTAGTTTTCGTCGCCTTCGGAATCGTGTTAACCGCTTACGAAAGTACTGTCGCCCTAAATACTATGAGTCAAAGTTGAACATCTGAGGGATTGCGCTCCTCGTAGGTGGTGGAATGAAGATAAAAAGGTTGAGCGGGATGCAATCAGCTACGCGTACTGAACCGACTTCAGTCTTGAAACTTTTTTACTCAGGGCCTGACTCTAGTCTTAAGGCCCTTGCTAATACCATTAACAATGCGTTCCTCGCCCCTATGAGGTCCTTTTCTCCGCTGCATTCGGAGGCATCAGATGACGTGCAACACACCAATCCGCCAACGGTTACTGAGTTCAGGGTTCTAAAGAAACTTACCCGTCTTAATCCGGCTAAAGCCTCAGGGCCGGACGGCATACCTGCGTGGCTTTTGAAAGAGAACGCAGACTTACTGGTCCAAGTGGTTGGTGATATCCTTAACTGTTCATACTCCGAGGCTCGACTACCCCAGTCCTGGAAGGAAGTCGATATTGCCCCTGTTCCCAAGCAGACCCCTGTGGACGACGTAAACAAGCACTTGAGACCAATATCACTTACTCCTGTCCTTTACAAGTTAGCTGAGGACTTTGTGGTTGATCTTTACGTCAAACCCGCCGTGCTTGCTAAGGCCGATCCTAGGCAGTTTGGCACCGTTCCCGATTCAAATACCTCAGAAGCCCTAGTTAGCATGATCCACACCTGGAACAGTGCCACTGACGGTAATGGAGCCACTGTGAGGGTGGTTCTCTTTGACTTTAAGAAAGCTTTCGACCTCATTGACCACTGGGTTTTGGTCAGGAAGTTGTGCTCATGTGATATCCGCGCAAACAGCATGTTAAACTTGGTCATGACTGCTTCTCAGAATGGGGTGTTGTACTGGCGGGGGTTCCCCAAGGCACAGAAAATTAGGGCCATGGCTGTTAATCATCATGATCAACGAGCTTGATGTTCCTGCCACCGATCTCTGGAACTACGTCGACGATACGACCATCTCGGAGACAATAAGCAAGAGCCAAGACAGTCACATCCAGGCTGCTGTCGACACCCTGGTCAACCCGCCCTTCCGTGGACAAGTTTCAACTAAACGAGACGAAATGCAAGGAACTGCACATAAACTTTAGCACTAAGAATACTAAGTCTTTCGAACCAGTTGTAGTTAACGGCATGCCTATTGAATTAGTTGCCACTGCCAAAATACTAGTTCTCAATGTCTCTGGTGATTTGAAATGGAACTCTCACATTGACTCCATTATCAAGAAAGCTAAGAAGCGCCTGTATAGTTTGTCTCAGCTTAAACGCTCTTGCCTAGGTACCCGTGGGCTAGATCAGTTTTTCTGCACCTGCATTCGCCCTATCACGGAGTATATATGTCCTGTCTTTCACGACAGTCTTCCCGCGTATCTTTCCAATGAACTTGAGGGAGTACAAAAGCGGGCTATGCGCATTATTTTCCCTTTCTGCTCGTATAATGAGTCTTTAGTTGAATCAAGCCTAATTAAATTTTCAGACCCCCGCCAGGAACCTGTAGACAAACTATTTAAGGAAGTTGTACAGAACAAAGAGAATATGCTCCACAGCCTTCTCTCTTCTTTTAATACCTCTAGGTCGAACCTAAGAAACACTCGGAAATTTAGGCCCGTTTTCAAGACGAACAGATTCCGTAATAGTTTTATTATGTCCAACGCCCTCAAAGCTTAAACTGTGTTCCCGATCTATAGCTTTAGAAGTTTTGATTGCTTTTTATCATGTCGATTTCGTTTTTTTTCATTTTTATGTTTTAAACAAATCACAATTTTACCGTAATGTATTCATGTATTTATTCTCGTTTATTCGTTTTTTTCATTTTTTAGTTATATATTAGCTTATTAGTGGCAGCATTTTAAAGTGATCATAATTATTTGTTAATAATCGACTAATTCAACCTCCCGGTTGGAATGTGATTATAAATAAACTATCTAAAATCTATCTATCTATCTATCTATGGACAGACAGTAAATAAGTCATTTTCTGGATAAAGGATTAATCGAGGAGGTACAAGACTTTTGTTGCCAACCGAGTCTCGGAGATTCTAGCCTCAGACAGTGGTGACACGCTCCAACTCCAACTAACTTTAATTGTGCAAATGATGCGACGCCAGTGCCACACTCGAAGGTGAGAAGTGAGCATCGCTGGTTAATGCACCTGAGTTCCCGTATGAGCATACAGCTAAATGGCCTCAAAGAAAATGTATAGTGTATGAGGAGCGTTCAGAAGAGTGTCTTGCTCAGATAGTTAAACCTTTGTCTTCGAGGTTTCACAACCATTGATGAATCCGACCGAAGTACACCAGGCAAACCTTTGGGTGATGAGAATTGGCGCGAAGTTATGTTGGCTCCAGGTAAATAGACATAGCTAGTTGGAAAGCTGGGAGGACAACTATTAACTCAAGCTTCTGAGGACATAGCGTTTAGTCCCAGGAACCGTTAGAGACTTTCTTGGAACATGGTGAAAGTGTTCTGGAGGGGCTGGAGAGAATAGTTTTTGGCAATACTTTTAAAACACCCGAAGGAAATGGAGAGCGGCGAAGGAGAAGTCCAGAGTTTGTGCTCGTTGTGATCAGAATGCTCCACGTGGTCAGTGGCGTCTGGATCGAATGGTAGAAATTTCCCAGGTCAGGATGGACAGGTGCGTGTTTTTGAGCACAAGGGGTAAGTAGAATATCCCCCAATGAAACGACTGCACCCGTTGAACTTCGCTGGTCAGCCAGAGTAGTAGCAAGGTTGGTGCAGTGGTAAGAGCACTCGCTTTTCCATTTACGTTGCCCGGGTTCAAATCCCGGTGTCGACGCCATATGTGATTGTGTTTGTTGTTGGTTCTTTCCTTTGCCCTGAGAGGTTTTTCTCCAGCTGCTACCGTTTTCCAATTTAAATTCCAATTTAATCAAGAATGGTAGACGAAGAATCACTGAACAAAATGTGTATGTGCTTAACCACTAAATAGTTATCCATTTGTAATTATTCGTTATTTCTATTAGACAGCCAAAGCAATTAAGAAATTTTCCGAGCTCGTGTCCATCAATAAAGTCACTTAATGAGCTAATAACAGGTACTTTGTTACTACTTAGTACTGTGTTTACTTTATTGCGAGAGAGTCAATATCAGTGATGTGCACAGTACCGCAGATACGCAAACAACAGATTGATCAGCAACATTCATGTAAAGCTTTTGCACTTGCCGGTAAAAAATTGTTATTTTTTTACAAATTCAAGAACGGTAAAAAGAATCCTTATTTTTTCTTTTTCAGATGACAATGCTAGGAAGAATTTTACGTGGATTAATTTTGGTGTCAGTGTGGACGGTTGAAGGCAAGTAAAATTATGATTCGTTTGTATTGTTCTCTTGTACGGTTTTTTTTCTCTTTGTTTTTTAGTCATAACAAAGCAGCTTTGGTCTAGAACAAAATAATTCATTAGAACTGAGGTGTTTGTATGGCCAATCACATTATTTTAAGTGCAGTTGATAATAAACGTGCACCAATTAATTTGTCGTTGACAAGCACTGGCATAAAAATCGTCTTGAGTCAGTGAAGCTTGGTGTTACTAATATTCCAACGTTTCTGCACGACTTACAATGAAGTTATACAATCCTAAGTGTTATTTCAAAGTAATACCATTATAACAAGACCATTCATTTGTCTTCTCTAACCAGTCACGATATCGTCACCAGCTGTTTGCCCTCAGAAGACAACATCAGGTCAATGTTGCAGTATTCCATTCAAATACGGGGGAGAGACCTACAGTTCTTGCACTTCTGCCGATCATTACAGACCCTGGTGCTCCTTGGATCCCGTGTATAAGGGGAGATGGGGCAACTGCCGTGAGTTTTAAATTGACTTAGCTAAAGCCGAGTCTTAACTCTGTATTTCAAAGCTATATTATCATTATACCAAGCCGCATTGTCTTTTCTTTAATAGCGTTACCACTCACCACAACGTCATCAACTGTTTGCCTTCAGAAGACAACTTCAGGCAAATGTTGCAGTATTCCATTCAAATACAAGCAAGTGACCTTCAACTCTTGCACTACTGCTGATTACAACAGAACTTGGTGCTCCTTGGATCCTGTGTACAAAGGACGTTGGGGAATCTGCCGTGAGTTTTAGATTGGCACTATTAAGGCATTCTTGGTGTCTATTCATTAACATTATATATCATTAACAATGCGAACGGTTTGAACCCAAGAGTCATTTCATAAAGTAGGTGGAATAAGATCGTCCGCGTCAGTGTAGTCCTAAATAGGACTGTTAACTGACGTTTCGACAACCTGTGCGGTAGTCATCTTCAGAGTCAAAGTGAGTTGTGTCATGAAATGTTGGGCATAAATTAACACGCTGTTAGCCAATCGAAATGCAGAAATTGCTGTTATACATTTATATATAACAACATTGCTCCATGTGTGCTTATTTTCTTGTAGCATGATGTACATCAGCCGCTACCATAATGTCTGGGAAATCTATCAAACAAAAAACATATTTCATTTTATTAGATCTTTACGTATTACCAACCTTTCTTACTGTTTCCTTCAAAAAGTTGTAAGATAATCTAGGACGGGTTACTCCGTCCATTAAAATAGGTCCAATTACTAAATAGCGAGTCTTTCCTTGCTAGCGTACCTTTCAGAACCTTGCCGTAAACCAAACAAGCTTCTTAATGAAGCACAATTGAATCAGTCCAAAACTTCATTAATCATTTAAATAATATTAAGCTAATTCCCCTTATTCTAAAAACGCAACGTCGAGAAATGTTATGTTTTCAACTATAACTATGAGCGGGGAGATTGTTCTCAACAGTTGCGTTTGATTGGCTCTTTTTTTTAATGTGAGTCTCTATGTTTGTCAACCAATCAAAATGCGACTAATTTCCTTTGTTTTTCTGCATTGGTTTACCTTGTTACCAATGGCGCTACTTTTTAAAGAACTGAGACAGACAAACAAAATGAAATAATTATTAACGAATTCCTCTCGTTTGTTTGGCTTATGTCATAAACATATATTATTTTTCACTCATTAAATTAACAAAAGTGACAAAAATCAAACAAATGTTGCAAATTAGTCACTCTGAAGTCTTTTTAGCGATCCGTTTATCATGAATGATCACAATTAATAGAGCTTACGTTTACAAAAAATACCTAAATACACGATCGATCATGACGTGACTTTATATCAGCCGATATAATATATAGATTTAGCCAGGGCTAAAAGCGAGGCTCCCATTAATAAATTTATAATTTAAATCAAACAATTAACTTGTATTCCACAGTCAGTTAACTTTAGAGCACTTTCGTGTGACTTTTCAGGGAAAGGCTAAGTGATTTTACAAAAAATAATTTGCAAGCAGCCCAAGAGTGAACCAAATCTCACATCGAGTTAATAGCCTCATAAGTACACCCCAAAACTGGCAATCATCTTCGATCACATTATATGATGGCTCTTGGTCGCCCTAGATTAATTAGGCCTGGAAAAAAATTCCGGCCGAATTTTTTGCGTTCGACAAGTTTACTTTACGAAATCTTGCCAACAAATCTGGGTGCGACTGTAAACCAACCTTTTACATCATTTATACATCACATCTGAGGTGAAACAGTACTGTGAGCCACTGTTTTTATAATACAGACCTCGGACAACAGAATACAGTATTTCAAAATATTGCGATACAAATTGCTATCGCGTGGGCTTTAGCTAAACCGTTAAAAAAAATTTTTCAAAATCATCTATACGGCCAGCCGGTTCTGACTTTTGCAGTGCTAGCAGTGGCGAGTGTTTGAATGAACATTAACAGAGTTACGCTCCAACATAATAAAGAACTTATTATGTTTATTTTTTATTTTAAGACGGTTTAACGCGCGGCATTTTGAGTACTCCGGGAAGCGTTGTTCACTGAACGACTGAAAACAATCGGCACAGCGATTAAAATTACAAGAAACAGTACTAACAATCAATAAAAGAAATATAATTCGGTGAAACATATACAGAGACGACAATTTTCATTCAGGAAGACAAGTATTAAAGTGTCTCGAAGTTTCTGTTTTAAGCCGGCTTCCCGGTGTTTGCTTTTTTCAAAGACGAACTCGAGGCAAGATAATCGCTCAAACCTTTCTTTTACAGCCAGAATTATAACTAAATATTCCTTGAAACGTTTTCTTTCCTAGTATTTGCCGTGAGAAAATGTCTAAAGGCTTTTTAAACATCTGTAAGCTTATAACAAACCTGATACTCGGTCAGATCATTGTCTCAAATCTTACAAACGTGCGTAAACAAAATAGCCGCATAAACTACGCCCGACTTCATTAAATTAGGAATAAAAAACAAACATCAAATACAATAATTACTTAAGCTTACCACTCGAGATGCAGCTCCTGAAAGGTATCAAGTAAGGCCAGTATCGAGCTTCAGACTTTGCAACCCTCTTACGCATTAAGCAAGGTGAAAACGAAAACGATGCCATCCGAAATCAGATTTCCGACTTTGACTCAACCAAAAACCCAATAAACAAACTAGCCATGAATAGCAGAAGACTCCTGATAGAATCTGAATTTCATTTTGTACATCCAGTGGAAAAAGAAAGTTAAAAACATCACAAGTTGACACAAAACTCTGTGAGCTTCAGCTGTCAAAGTAAACAAAATTCAAGATGCTGCATAAATTTTCCGCATGAACTCACCTGTCAAATTTTGACCAATCAGAGCATAAAAAAATGGACGTAGAGCGTGACCAACGCGTGAACATGGCGAGAAAAGTCAAAAGCAACTGTCTATAGCAGCTGGCTGAATTTTCGCGTCCGAGGTCAGTTTGAAATCAAAATTTTAATTGTGCGGCACATAAACACAACATATTTCATATGAATTTAAAAAAAATTAAACTTGAGCGTGCGATCATTTGAAAACCAGTACCTTGTCAGCGGATAACTTCAAAAAATACTTAACCTCGATGGGTCGACACCTGAGCCCGCGATACAGTCAAGTGATACTGGTAAGCGGATACCTTGTTTTGACAGCTGTCAATTGATCACAACATTGATGTCCAATATGTGTATCAGTTTTCCTGTGCTCCGATCCCAAACTAGCTAGAAAGTATGAGACTGAACATTGATCGCGATCTAGTAAAATAATTAACTCGTCAGCGGACAGCTTCCAAATAAATCATGTCACCTCAATGAGTTGACACATGAGCCAACGATATGGTCATGGGATACTGGTCAGTGGCTATCATGTTTTGACAGCTGTCAATCGACCATTTTGTGAATGTCCAATGTAAAAGATGTGGACTTGGCAAGACGCGCCTGAGACACCCCTCCCTTCCTTTTGATAGTCTCCCCTACCCCACCCGTACAATCCGTAGACGCGTACGTACGTACGCTCGGTCAACCACGTGACAACCAAGCGAAAAGAGGTTGACCATAATCTATGAGTATGAGGCTATCCAAAAAAAATCAATTCTCATCTGATGCTACGGAACCGAAGAGAATTTTCATTTGTAAAAAGACTTTGAGCGTCCCAAGCTAGCCTGTCAAGAGAGTGAAATTTCTGGGATTTTTAACATTGATTTTGGCACATTTATTTGCAGTTGTTAAACCGTGTTTGTTTTCTGTTAATGGCTCCAGTGGGTTCATCAGCTCCAGTGGCACCGACTACTACTACGATTATTGCACATGGATCATCACTGCACCAGCTAACCACACCGTCAAACTGAAATTTTCCATATTTCACCTATCTAATCAAGCTAAGATCCAGGTCCATGACGGAAAAAGGAGAAGTGATACCGTACTGGGAGTTTTTACTGGAGAAAGACAGCCCTTCATCATACAAACAAGAGGTCGATTCATGGTGTTGACTTTACAAAAAGACTATTTCTCCACGCCTTGTAACTTTAAGGGAACTTTTATAAGTTCAAGAAAAGGTAAGCGAAAGTAATTAGATATTAATAAGAGAATGAGAACTGCCTAAGAATGCTAATTAGCTCCTCATAAATAATATACTCTTGGACGTTGCAACTGATGTGGAATAATGAATGCGTCTCAAAAGCGATGACAATTTTTCATACCTTAAAGTAAATTAATAAAGCTATATTAAAAATGTTCTTCTGATTGTGACAATTAAAGCCTGTCACCGTTACTGCATAAAGAGGAAAGCTTGACGAAAGAAAAACTGTAAAACAGAGGAATATTTTATAGAGCAGTCATCCACAAATAATAAATAAATAAATTTTACACTCTAAGGAAACATTTAAAAGAATACTGTGGAAACGAAGTTTCCTTTCAAATTTGAAACTACTCCTTTAGTACAGTACCTTTTACTTTTCCTGGTAGTTCAATTTAAATCAAGTGATAAAGATGTTCTGTAGCTTGTTATTTATTGACATAAGGAAAGCTTTGTAACGACACACACGCGTACAAAACCGTAAGTATTCTCGATTCAAAAATTATACTCAACGTGAAATGTGGTGGAGTGAAGAATGATGAAAACACGGAAATGGCGAGGGCTGCATAGTAACGTAGACCTTACAAATCAAAAAAGTTTTGTTTTATTTTTTCTCAAGAAAAAAAATGAAAGAAATTTAAAACGCTTAAGATGTTATTCCCTCTTGATCAGTAACACTTAAACCGTCCTCTGACGGTCTCACTAAATTTGAATGAATGAAAAACAAATTGAATGCGAGAAATATAGGCTCCCCTGTATTCTTTCTATCAGTCCTTACTGACTATCAGTTGATTGTTTCTCGAGTTTGTAAAGTGGGACGTTTTACAACAATGTGAGATAGTATTGAAACGCTTAAATTTCAAAGGGATGGCCTGAAACGATAACACGAGGCATGTCTGACTTAAGGAAAACCAATTTCAGTTACAGTGTAAATTAATAGTATACCCGTACTTATCTCAAACGTCGAACTCACGAATACCCTCCAATCTAGCTACTAAAACTTTTGAGTATCGTTTAACTTGCAACCTGGTATGACTTGAAATCGGGACATCTTAAAACCCGCTAAATTTTCTTTTTCAGAAAAGCCGAGGATAAGGGTACCGTTGAAGGAGTTGCGAACTGTACCCGAGCATTATCTCTGGTTTCTGCTGGAAGGTACCCCACCTATTAACTTGACTCTAATGAATACATCAACACCTTTGAAGGGCGGTCTCGTCATAAAAGGATTCCAACTAAATCGGACGGGTACCTACCGATACACTCTACTGGCAGAAAATGAAGAAGGAACTCATTCAAAAACGGTTGAAGTAACCGTTGTGGGTAAGGATTCAATACTGTTAAATTTCACTTCAATGTAGATAATTAACAATTATAGTAGTTTGCACAAACAGAGGTGTTGGATTTTGTTCTTACTTTATTCGTTGGTGATTCACTTCCATTCGGGGAAAAAAGAAATGCAAGAATATTTGGACTAGTTGCCCTTGTACATATTTCGCCATTGTTTTGAACACGGGTAATTTGTGTCCATTAAGGTTTGTAAACAATAAAAGATTTACCAAAATATAGAAAATTTGGGTTTCATCCTTGGTCAATGAGTACACATGAAAATTGGTTGTTGACTTTAATATTGCATATCGAAGTGTATCGCTTTCTTGAAAAATGTCCCTACAAATTGCCTCATTCATGCGTCTATTCCTTTTACAGATTGCAAGCATTTGTGTCACAGTACAGGTTCGATAACACGTTTTGGCCAAGTAACCAACGAACACGACTGTAGTAGAAGCAACATAACAAATAACTGGAATTGCATTCCAACCACAGCCACTAAATTGTAAGTGTATTTCTTACTTTACCTTAGATTAATTGGCCTATTGTTTTCTTATATTACCACTTTGGACCCCTATTTATGTTTTTTTAGACTATCAAATGCTCCAAAATGACCCTAAAAGAAATAAAATATTTTCTCACTACTACTTGTTTTATTTTAACGAGAAAAGAACGTAGCTTTCTAGTTATGAGCGCTTTTGAAACTGATGATCAACCCGGGACTTTCAAATGAGCGCGCGCGTATACAATGCGAAACTTGCCCTTTCTTTCACAATGTAACTGAGAGATTTTTACGCATTCACCTTCTTAAACGTTCTCTAAAGCTGAGGCACGCTGTTGAATAAAATGCACATGGGCCAATCAGTGAGATTACAGGGCGACAAATGTCCAAATAAATGACACAGGTTCATCAAAACCTGATGCTAGCTCTTTCAACCTTTCGCATTGTTTTAATTGTTCAAGCCACAACACATTCAAGGTTTTTTTTACACCAAGGAATCACAGAGCTTTGTAAAACCTTCGTCTTTCAAATCGCGGGCGCTGAAATTCTGACGTTCTGAAATTTTGCTTGTGCTTCATCTTTCAAAACGCTTATAGTTCGGCTCTCTTAGAGGCGATTTAGATATCATTTTGCGGAGACGTTGTGAAATGATGGAAGTTTAGGAATATATTTTTTTCCGGTAGATCGCTAGATCGTGCTTTACAGCGATGCTTAAAGTCACCTTTGTCCAAACTAGGAAATCGTGATTTTGTGTCCAAGTTTGCGGGAAAAATAAAATACAGCACTGTGTGATTTTATTAATAAATAAGATAAACTGTCTAAACCTCTAGTGTGTCATGTATTGGACATATTTTGCAATTTACAGTTTGTTAGCCAGATATAGTCGTTTAAATGAGCAAAGACTTTCATCCCTGAAATTATAATTAACGCTCTATATATTTTTTATATAAGCGCTCTTTCAGAATTCTGCCCAATACATATAACACACTACAGGGTGTCCCAAAAGTTCGTTCCTCTAATTTCATGCACTATAACTTTTGATCAAAACTTTATATTTTTACATGAAATTTCTAGAAGATGTTTATTTCTCTACCGAGTACATGTATTCAGAATTTCAGTAACTGGCATGTGCTTTTTGATTTTTTATCACATTCTGTAGCCTTTGCGGCATGAAGTGGGATTCAGTGTGTAGACCCACAGATGATCCATCTTGAGCTTTTTTATAACCTGGTGCGCAGGAGCCACTCCACCCCCAAACAATATTTGTTTATTTTAGGCAGCTAAAAAATATATATATTGGGCATTCATCCATAAAAGATAATCATCCCGGTCTCCTTCCACAGCAAGGCTTTTGTACTTCTTTACAAATTTGAGACAGCTGGGCGTTACTTGGCAGACTAAGCAGAGGTTTTTTTTTGCCATCTCAGGGGCCTCTAATTTTAAGCATTTTAAACAGCTTTTCATAACCCTTTCTGGACTTGGCTCTCTAACTATCTGAGAGCTTCCTCGTTGAGTCTCCTACTTTAAATCTAGCCTTCTTTAAAACTATTTTAGCTGTTTTCTTCAGGACTTTTGGTCTTCCCCTTCGTTTCTTGCCTTCAAAACCTTAATTACTCCATGATCATTTTACCACCCAGCATTAGGATTTACTCCAGTTTTTTAGCAGTTTCTACTGACAACAGATAAGCCAGAAAATCGAAGTATACATGCTTATGCTCTCACCTAGTTGAACTTTTTTGCGTTAAAGCGGTTTATCTTTCGTGATATTCGCAAAATACAAGGAAGGAGTTCGAGCAATTCTGGCTATAAAATACAAAGAATATGTGGCTGGAAAATATACTCGCGCACAGGCACCTTTGGTGCGGGAGTACACAAATGGAATATTCGAGTCAAAAGATGGCACAACAAGTATGAAAATAGTGAATTAGATTGAAAGACACAACTTTGGCTTCAATCATTTGCTTAACAAGTTCAATCGTACTGAATACAGAGTTATAAAGTAGAGGAACGAACTTTTGGGACACCCTGTACAATCTACCGAGTTTACCCCTCTGAAGTGCGAGTTCGTGAAGTTTTTTATCTGTGCTGAATTCTTGGACACAAAATTGTCGGAAAAGTCCAATTTTGACACTCCCGTAGGTGTCCCGACAAAAGCACGAGTACTAAGCAAGACATATAATTTTGGTAATTATGGTTTTACATTCCGCGTTGTAATATAACTATTTTGGTTATAACAGCAATGTTATAACCAAACCGTCAAAGATTACTTTATTACAATGCTTTGATCAGGCCAGTGATTAATTATGCAAGCGTCCTTTGGACTAATTGTGATAAGGAAAGCCTTGGGCGGGTCCTGAAGCTCCAAAAACGAGCAGCTAGAGTAATCCTGAATGCCCCCCCTCAAGCACCATCAGTTCCCTTGTTTAATCGGCTGAAATGGTTGCCTTATTATACAGTAGAAAAACCAGGTACTGTAATTTTAACCTAACCTCTCCGAGGTATAATCGCGAAACAGAAGGAGGCAGTACTTTTACCGTAACAACTTGCAAAGCGTGGAACAGCTTATCTTTGCCTGTAAGGCAAAGGGACTCAGTTGACTCTTTAAAAAAAGCATTGTGGAATGAATTTTTTAAACAACAGCAGAATCTTGATCATTTTTCTATTTAAGTTACCTGATGAACTGTGAGATTATTATAACGCTATATTTTATCTTTTAAATAATTTAGTAGATTCTATAGTACCTGTATTCTAATTGGTTTTAATCTTGTATTTTTTCATAGCTTAGTATACTCATTTATTATTTTATTATTTATTATTTAGAGGGCCACAAGTTTATTAGCCCCGGCTATTTCGTGCTAACCCTCATAAAATAAAGTCTTTACTTACTTACTTACTTACTTACTAATGTTCTCGAGGATTTTTTAGGCGAAAAAAAAATGTACAGAGAGTTTTGGTATTAAATTTGGTTGCAATTTCTAAAGGTTCCCTAATTTTTATTTCCATATTATTAAAAATCACACTGAAACAAAGTTTGATTCAGAGACCGTGTGTTACTTTTGAATAACTATTTTGTTCGCAGTCTGCTTGTTACACGTTCACGTGAACACTTTAAATTATGCGCTTCTCTTTATTCCAGTTATGAATATCTCGTAAACCTGACGATACCAGTAGTTTTACTTCGTGCATACACTTTAAGTAAATGCATAAAAATGAGCCCACGGTGTCCCCCTATAATGATTTTAATAATCATCATCATCATTATCATCATTATTATTATCATCATTATTGTTATTATTATTATTATTACTATCGTCGTTGTTGTCACTGAAATACAATTATATTCTCTATCTATTCTTCTAAAATAACTCGAATTGGAATATTTTTTATTCTTCGATGGAATATTGTTTTGCTCAGGCCGTTTGCATGATGCGGTTGACTTACATAACATAACATAACATAAAACTTTATTTAAACTCGAATTTTAGAGTAGCTAACAAGCTAATATCTTCGAGCTGACACTACATAAAAACTATATAGAAAAGATATATATACATTAAATGCAAGGAAAGAAAATATCATTTACAATTCACAATTTTAAGTTTAAGTATGTCAGGCAAAAAGAATCTACATGAAGGTAACATCCTGTATTTTAGTCTTAAAGTCTGCAAAAAAAACTGGTACGAAAAAAGTCCGGCAGTGCATTCCACTGCTTAGCTGAAAAGTAAGAAAAGGAGTTAAGACCATAGGTAGTTGTTTTAGGTTTACTTAGTGAAAGAATGTAGTTGCCACGAAGATCATAGGAAGACGACCGGAGTTAAAACATATTCTTCATATAAGTAGGAAAATGAGTGAAAAACAAACTCTTATATAACAGAATGAGGAAATTTTGAATGCGTTTGTTAAACAAAGTAGAGCTGACTTTTGAGAGAAGAGTGTTGTATGGAGACGAGTAATCTCCAAGTATAAATCTCAGTATTCTTTTATTTAAAGCTTCGAGCTTATCCGCATCGCGCGCTCCACAAAAGTGCTAGACAGAGGAGCAATAATAAAAGTGAGGTAAAATATACGCTTTGTAAAGTTTGAATAAGATTTCCTTTCGTATGAGTTTTCTAAAGCGCAACATAACATTAAATTGATTATTAATCTTTTTGCATACATTTGATATATGTTTAGAAAAATTCAGATTATTATCTATTTCCATTCCAAAAATCTCTAACGTGTCCTTTACTGGGAAGGAAAAACCATACTCCGTATCACCGAGGATTAGACACTGGTGCTTGCTCTCATTAACTAACATCCCATTTTCATGGTACCACTGATTAACCACGCCAACATCATGAGATACGCATGCATCCAGAGCTGCCGGATCGACGTGGGAGTAGTATACCTGATGATCATCCGCATAAGCGTTCAACTTGGCCTTCTTGACGTGGAAGAAAAGATCGTTTATGAAAATATTGAATAGCATGGGACCTAACACACTCCCCTGCGGGACCCCACGCTTGACGCTTTCCCAGGTCGAAAAGGTGTCTCCAACTTTAACTCTCTGAGTTCTGCTAGAGAGATAGTTCCTAATTAGGGCACAACTTTTGTCGTCCATACCATAGGCCCTCAGTTTCGAAAGGAGGAGTGGATACTGAATAACATCAAACGCTTTGGAGAGATCCATAGAAACTACCGCAACAAGCTTCCCCCTGTCACGCATCATTCTCCAGTCCTCGGTCAACCTTAGCAAAGAGGTCTCGCAACTATAAAACTTTCTATAAGCGCTTATGAAGTCTGATAAGACCCCATTGTAAAATTCATACATCTGTCCCGATAGAAGCCTTTCAAAAATATTGTTTAGAGCAGGGAGCACAGTTACGGGCCTATAGTTGATCTTACAAAACTTCACTTTAATTTTGCTGTAGGGATTTATCTTCAAGCAAGATCGAGAAGCTCCCGCCAGGAATATTCACCAATCTTTCTTTCATGGAAAAGCTGTAAGATAAACCGTGTTTCGTTTATTTTATTATTTGAGGATAGGATAGTATACAGCTATTCCCCGCAGGGGCAGGTTACGGTGATGGATGACGGAAGGCGTCCCTTAGGGGGATCGTTGTTTCCGTATTTAACGAATCAGTTGGTTTTGTAAATATAAAACATTACTTAGTAAGTGCTTTATTTTCTTAATTGACAGTGGTTCCGGGGATCTCTCGTTTGCTGCAAATTCGGCCAGAAAATAATTTTCTACCTAAAAGTAGAAAGGGACATAAGCCAAATTTGTCTCTTTCTTGTACTTGTTGGTAAAACTGCTTTATTTGCCGCTAAAATTTCATCTTCGGAAAAGGTTGCAAAACAAGACGGCTTTTTGAATCCCGTCACAGAAAAGTGAATGGTTTAGAATACTCCAAGTTACAAGAGTTAGGGACGGACCATTAGAAAAGTTATGGGGGGGGGGGGAATTTTTGAGCCGCAGGAACTTTTTTCGTCATCAAATTCCTTTTATTTTTTTTAGGCCGTAGCATAAATATTTTTTACGGTTAATTGGCGTACATGAATTTTTTTCATTCAATTTTCCCTTGCGCGAATATTTTGTTTGTGCTTCGCCCGCCCCCACCCCCCATAAGTTTTCTAATGGTCCGTCCCTTAATCAAAACAGGTACGGTACTTATTTGGTACATAAATTTCTTATACTCGAATGCCACTCTCCTGGATATTAGGATCGAGTTTTCTCATGGCAGCCTAATAAGACAATGGGAGGTTAATCCTAGTCAACAACTGTCGTTTTTCGTAGTTTGTCAGTTACTCTCCAACCACATTTCAGCCACATTTTGTGACAATGATGTGGCGAGAAGTAATTACTTTCTAAACAAAAATTGCAAAACGCTTTTGTTTTATTTTTTTGTAATAATACCTATATAGTTTCGCTAAGACAAACTCTATGAGTTGGGCGCGAAAAATATCGACTAGCTCTTTTCCACGGAGCAGAATTTCAAGAAACGTTAAGGAGATTCTCACAGACCCCCGTATAGACAAAGGTTATGTTTTATTCTGTAGCGTACATAATAAGCAATCAGTTGAAGGGGAAACTTAACCGTTCGGTCGGGAAGTCCATTCAGGTAATAAACAGCAAGATAGGGAAGACAAGGAAGGTAATGACATTTTTTCAATGTACAAAATTTCGTTTAACCTGGTTTTAGGGGTATTCCTTTGGTTGAATACGTCATGCTCA